TTTTCAAGAATTGAAAAGTAAATCCATCGGGACCTGGGGATCGGTCACCACCACATGCCCATATGGCATTTTTCACCTCATCAATGGATATAGGAGCTTCCAGATTGGCGGCGTCTGTTAAAGACATGGAGCGAAAGAGAGGGCTGACCAGCTTTGGTCTAGAAGGCCAAGATTCTTTAAATTTATCCTCAAAGAACCGCAATGTTTTGGTTTTTATTTCATTAACATCAGTTGTCCACCTCCCATTTATTGATAAGCCTTGAATCCGGTTCTTCCTGTTTTTGCTGTTAACAAACCCATGAAAAAATTTAGAATTTTCATCACCATCTATTGTCCATTTGATTCTTTCCTTCTGTTTGAGATCCAAGGATTTATGTTTTTCGAGCTCCAGGATTCTTTGAGTTCCATTACTTAACACCTTCAGCTGAACATCAGATAGAGATCGAGATTCCGCAGCCAACTCCAATCGTGCTTTCTCAGCTTTAAGATCAAGTAGCTCCTTGTTTTCTTCTTTAAATTTCCTGTTTCTCCAATTTCTTATAGCGTTTTTTACATGTCTAAATCTCGCCATTAGCTTCATATCGCTGGTCCCATAACCTTTGAAACCCGACCAGGCTGTTGTAACAACCTCATTGATACCTTCCACCAAAAGCCACGAGTTGAAGAATTTGAACGGGGGAGGCTCAAAATCCACAAGGCGAGAGATCAAAGTAATTGGAGAGTGATCAGATAACTCACGAGGGAGTGCAGTGACAGCAAGCGATGGGTGGTGTTTGATGAAGTTGGCACAAGAAAGAAATCGATCTAATTTACTTAATTTGGGACCCGAGCGACAGAAGTAGGTGTATTTGAGCCCCCCCCCCCCCCCCATGTTAAAATCCAATAATCCTGCCTCGAATATAAAACTATTGAAATCATGAGCACTTTGATGACAGAAAATGGAGTTAACTCGCTCATCCGGACTCCTAACAGCATTGAAGTCACCAAATATTAACCATGATCCTGGCTTGCTACGCATAATTCCAATGAGTTCAGCCCATAGCAGTGCTTTCTCCCTGATCCCTTGGGGAGCATAGATGTTTGCGAAGATGGTGTGCCCATTGATACCAGGCCATAAACTAATTACAATTATATAATGTCGCGATTTTATTACCTCCACCTTCTTGAAGATTCTATTGTTCCAGATACATAATAGGCCACCAGAGTGCCCATGTGAATTCATCCCCGCGTACTCAAATTCAGAAGAGTCCCAGCAGCCTAAAATGTTAATTTTCATGAAATCAGCCATCCAGGTCTCTTGAATCCCTAGAAAGTTGATCTGATTTGCAATTTTTAATCTCCTAATCCAGTTGATTTTGTCGTCCTCACCAGCTCCCCTTATATTGATAGACAAACAATTCATTATGATACGTTTTCACCCTCGCATTCACCCATGACCTGTGCCAAGATCTTGTCATCTGCCTTAATCTCGAACTCGATGCTGGCACCAACCTCAACAGTGGTAGTAATCTCGCAGGTGGAAGCTGAGTTGCACTCCACAAACTCATTGTCTTCTCGAATGAGCGTAATAGGATTTAGCGATGGGGCTGTGTGAAGGATACGCTCAGATAGGAGAGGGTCATGGAGCTTACTGGAACAGATAAGATCGTTATTTGACGGATTGACCGTCCTACGCCTCTTAAGTCTACCTCTAGCGACAACATTAAGGTCAGCGAGACTGTTTGGACTGGGTGATGTCATTACATTAGTTGGGCTAGAGAAAGTGAAGTTGGACGGGAAAGGCCCAAAACATCCAAATTTCAATAAGTCATTACTAGGCCCATGTGACATCCCCAATTTCACGGCCAGAAAAGACCGATTTCGTTTATGCTTTTTAAAATAAAGTCAGTGTAATCCTTTTAAAAGATGTTACGGAATTTGTTCCCAAAAAAAAACATGATAAATATGTTATCAAATCATTTCCGAAGAAATGTATTTTATTCATTTAAACCATTGGGGTGTCATTGTCAATACAAAAACATAAGCATAAACAAAACTTACATTCATTTACACTAGTGATCTACTTCTCTTTTAATCTCTCAGTGTAAAGCAACTTCGTATCGATACCTGTGATACAATTAAACTGAGTGGGTCAGGCTTGGGAGCCTGGTGAGCATATAGGGTTTTCAACCCACAATAAATAATAAACTTATTAAGTTCTCAATCAACAATAAATTTATTAATTTCATCAATCAAAATAACCATAATTACCTATTCCCATTATCCTCACTTTATGTCTATAAAACAACTATCACAAGGGACCTAGCCTAAGGATTTTCACAAGGGGTGACAACATTGCTATCCTCAGCAATTTATGTCAAACAAGACATCCTAACATAAAACAACCTATAAAGTGACAACATTGCTTCCCTCTGCAATATATGTCAAATAAGACAAACATCGGGGTGACAACATTGCTTTCCTTCAGCAATTTATGTCAAATAGGCACGAAGTCACATCGTCGCCATATGCTAAGTCCATAGCTCTTATTTATCGACAATATTTCCCACGGGAGTCCCCCCCCCCCCCCCCCGCAATACATGTCAGTGAGTTTTTCCATATGCTAAGTCCATAGCTCTTCTTCATCGACGGTATCTCCCACGGAAGTTCCCCCCGCAATACATGTCAATAGGTTTTCCATATGCTAAGTCCATAGCTCTTATTTATCGACGGTATTTCCCACGGGAGTTCCCCCCCCCCCCCCCCCCCCCGCAATACATGTCAATGGGTTTTTAGAGTACAGCTGATGAACATATAGTTCATCCACTTACAGGTTGCAAGCCTGCTAGTGTTCCACAAACCGTCTAGAATAGTCCATGGTTGTCATCCATACTCTGCTGAATGACGGGGGCCAACGTTTCGGTAAGGGCTTTTCTCATATTGCACCACTCACGCCAACGTTTGGGTATGGCTTTTCTCATATTTCACCACTCACTCTCAACTCATGATCTATATCACTGATCATCTCATCAATCCAACTCACCTTTCATCACACGCCCACTATTTGACTCATAATCTATATCACTGACTCATGAAGCTCGCCCGATCACTTCATAAAAGAAACAAAGACTCCAAAGCTCTTCAAAATAAAAGTATAGGGAAAATACTAATAAAGTACTCCCGTACGCTCCTGTACCCCGACACGTAATAGTGTCAAAAAGAAGAACTAACGGATGAACACATAGTTCAAAAACACCTAATGAACATATAGTTCGAGAACACCTTATGAACATATAGTTCAAACATACCTACCGATTACAAGTCTGCTAACGTTCCACTGGACTATCTAAAATAGTCTGTGGCCGTTGTCTATACTTTGCTAGATGACTAGATCATCTTAAACATCAATATCTCTCATCACTTTTATTTCATCACACATCATCTAATTTGTCTACCCATGTTTTACCCAACATATTTGTAGATAAAAATACATATACAGTTTAAAACTTGTATAAAACATCTATTCAACAGTCACCTTAATTAAACAATTAATATAATTACACATAGCACGTATTTTAAAGAAAATACTTCATATATATGTGTAAGGTGAAAGTGACTACACACTCACATGATTTAACGATAATCGGGCAGCACTTCGTTGCCTAAAACGATCGTTTCTAATAAAACCGGGAGTTTTATTGAGAAATCGGTCTCTGCGAGGGTCGGGCTTCGAAACCGAAAAAATAAATTTCTCGGGCTTCTCGGGCACTCCGGGACGTGTTCCGGGCGTTGGAAATGATCTCGGGGCATCGGGGGATGTGAAAATAGCCAAAATATTGAAAAAGGGGTGAAAAATGCCCATTTTCCAAAAGTAGCCGGAAGATCTCGCAAGTCTTCTATTTATAGGAGGGGAGATCCGGAGTCGGCCGAGAAGAGGCGGTGACAGCGAGGGTTCAGACGCGACAAGCATCGCACATGCGAAGGCAGCAGGTGGCAGGTTGTGAGGGTCTCCAGGTGTCTTGCATGCGAGGGGCCAGCGAGGCTCGGATGGACACGCGGCTCGTGCGAGAGCTCGCCACCGAAGCTTATACGTGTAGTCAGCGGATTGGACCGCAGCTCGGACTCGGAAGGATCGCGACACGTCTTCGGATGACTCAACAAATTTCGGACACGTGGCACGATTTAAGCGAGGGTGACGTGGCCGAAGCCACCTATGCGAAATTTCTCGATTTTTGTGCAAAAACTTCAAAAATCCATAACTTTTTCATACGAGCTCCGTTTTTGACGTTCTTTATATGCACGCGTAGGTAACATTACGCTATACAACTTTCATTTAGACTTCGTTGGCTAATTTTGAAGTTAATTTTTATATTATTATTTTTAACAGACCGGGACAGGAAATCCGTTAAAAATTCATAACTTCTTCATCCGACGTCCGTTTTTGTCTGTCTTTTACCGTTGTGCTACTATTGACGAGACCTTCGATTCTCGTTTAGGTTGTGTCGGCTAAAAATCACTCGATCTAAAATTCGAGTTTTTAGCTGTCTACTGCTAAGCCGAAACTTAGAAAAATCATAACTTCCTCATACGAAGTCAGATTTAGGCGTTCTTTTTATACATACTCTCGGTTTAACGAGCACTACGACTTTCGTTTAGATCACTAAGGCTAAAAAGTAGTTTATCAAAAACTCACTTTTTACGTCATTCGGCACCGTGCCGGTTTTGTCGTGAAACTTTGACAGGTCATAACTTCTTCGTTATAACTCGAATTTCGGTATTCTTTATATATCCATAATCCTTGTCACGCCCACTAAAAGTTTCTTAATAGATATTGGCTTTATCTAATATTTATTTTTGAACCTAATTTTTATTCTTAATTAATTAAACCCTAATAATTAAGCATAAAACACATAATTTTCACATAAAATTCACATAATTCCTTTTCATTTCTTCAAAATGAGTTACAAAGGTTAACCTAGACTATAACGTCAATGTTAATGCCTAGCCTAGAAACACGGGCGTTACAGCCCATATTTTCCAACTCCAGTGTTAGGTGTACCGCCAGTGATCGGGAACTTCGTTGTTTTAATGTTGGCATTAATCTCACCAGGTTCCAATAACGTCGGTTGAGGTTCCAAGCAAGAAGAGTCTCGAGGAGGAAGGTCAACGGTCTGCGCATCCGCATCGTGCCCCTGTGTCGTCGTCTCTCCATATTCATGAGCCGACGGGATTGAGTCAGCCCGCTGATCATCGGATCCACCCCGGGACTTACAACCAAGAGCTACCGGAGATGTGCTCTTAAGATTATCTGGACATATTTCACCATCTTCCATGTCATTATCCTCGTCGTTCATGGCTTCTGGACATATTTCACCATCTTCCACTTCTTTAACTCCGTCATTCATGTCAGTTTCTGATATACCTTCGTCATCTACGTCGTTATCGCCAGAAACCTCCGAACTATCTTCCACCTCATGAGAGGATGATGTACCAAAGGGAGACCATTCATCAGCAAACTCAAATACTCCAATCCTGATAGTTTTTCCATTCGCTACAGCATTGACCTCTTCATTGATCCATCTTCGATATGAGGTGATAATGCCAATTTTTATCATGGAGAGATCTGTTCTAATAAACATATCTTCCATAGGAGTAATGATTTTCCCCCGATGTTTAACAATTCTAGAAAGATTTTTGTTATCCCAGTATCTTACAGGAAGACCCACTATTTTCAGCCAAGCTATCCTCTCGAATCTTAGTTCAAACTGGTCTCCCCTGGATAGCCATCTAAACCACTCTTTCCATCTTGATTCATCGACAAGGAAGTCTCTGGCATCCACTGATGAATGAAATCTGAGTGCAACTTGAAGCCCACCCAAATACTTAATGCCTTCCATCAAATCGTTTCCATCAACCATAAATCTGGGAAGACAACTAAGAAGATCTAGGTTGTGAGCTTCACCAATCAGGACCGATTTGATCATCTAGGAGCTAAACACAGTGTCTGTTTTGAGTACAATCCAAAAACTTGATATGAGACGACTATCTACAATCATTAGAGGAACACTGTGAAGTCTTACAACTTCCTTCACTCAAGCATTTGCAAGCTTATCCATCGACTATCTCTCATTGGCTGCCATAAAGTGTGCACTCTTAGTGAAACGATCAACGACTACCTAAATCATGTCGGGACTGTTCTTCGTCCTGGGCAGTTTAGTCACAAAATCCATGATAATGTCTTCCGATTTACCCATGGGTACAGGTAAAGGTTCTAAACTCCCATACGGTTTCTGGTGTTGTGCCTTAACTCTCGCACATGTCACACACTCGGCCACATACTTCGCAACATCGAGCTTCATCATCGGCCACCAGTCGTAGGGTTTTAGATCCTTATACATCTTAGTGCTGCCAGGATGAATTGAGTACATGGTCTTGTGAGCTCCTTCCATCAGAAGATCTCTTACTACGCCTATTTTGGAATACCTTCACTTCTTGATTATTCATACCGAACACCAACGCTTTTCCTAAACGTCCTTCCTTTTTGTTATTCTTCTCTAAAGCTTCCTCCTGAGCTTTCTTGATGCTTTCCACAATTATTGCGACAACCTCTACCGATTGTTTCGATTATCTTTCACTTCAACCTTCTGTCCTAAGTCAGATGCTACATCGAACTTGGTTCTCTGGACCACGTAACATACTCATCCTAGTCGGACTCAATTGATATGACCACTAGGGTCGGAATAACAATTATCTTCTTATTCATTACCAAAATGATGGTAACGATGGACATGAACAAAACGGAATCATTTACTAGCTTCTTGGTAACCTCGTGACCTTCCATGATCCAAGTGTGAGTCTTGTGCTTCCGGTAGTATAGGCCTCTACTACCATTCACACCTACTCATAATCGTCCCAAGTATTGTCTCGTAGTTCTCCAAGTCACCATTCAAGAATTTCACACAATCATTTAACACATCAAATGACAAAATCAAGGTTTTATATTATCTCTTGAAACAATTACATAGATGTTCAAGTTCACCCTAGACTATGCCTTCTATATTAGGCTACATCAGATGATCCTATTTATACGGATACTCTATAGATTCTTCCTCTTAATTCCTTGCATCGTCGCCTGCTTCATCAAAGATCGTCTGAAATGCTCTTGCCTTTGGCGGTGCATTTGGATTTGTAGCTCCTTCCCTCTTTGGGTAGTCTTGCTTGTAGTGCCCTTCTTCATTACATCCATAACACACCCTTTTGTTGAATGTACACTCATTGGCGTAATGCTCATGTTTCCCACACTTTAAACATGTCACCTCATCGCCATATTTTCCAGAGTGTTTCTTCTTGCACTTATCGCACCATCTCACTTCACCTTTTCCTCCTTTGAACTTCTTCGATCCAGACTTCGAGAATTTTCTCTTCTCGTTGGACCTTGAGGATCCATCGAACTTCCTTTTCTCACCGACTTCAGTTCCCTCCAGACCCCTTTCTCTTAACTGGGTCTCAACATTCTTGGCTGCTTTAACGGTTGCCTTCAACGCACTTGCCATTTTGACTGTTGGGCCCAATTCTGATGGCAATCCGTTAGCAATTTTTTTTTATTTTGGCAAGCTCAGTCGGCACCAGGTATGGAAATAACTTCATCTTCTCGGTGAATGCAGTAGCATAGTCATCAATGCTCATTCTCCCCTCCTTTAAGTTCTGAAACTCATTGTTTAGATCTATCAGATCTATTTCGGAGCAATACTGTATTTTAAACTGCTCGATGAACGCTTCCCAAGACATCTTCAGAGCTTCTCCTCGTGGCATCGTATCTGCTAATAACTTCCACCAGCTTAAAACTCCGGTCTTCAGTTGTCTGACCGCAAAGACGGTTTTCTGCTTGTCGCTACAGTTGTAGCTTTCAAATACCATCTCCATTTCAGAGATCCAGTCCATAATCTCTACTGGCTTTGGACTTTCGGAAAGACTCGGTGGTTTAGCACACAAGAAGTTCTTATATATACATCCATTTTTGTCGATTTCCCTCACTGGGTCATTCCTTCTCACCATTGGGGGTTCCACTTGACTGACAGTGCAGCTGTAATTCCCTTCCTCTGACTGTCCGTCATTCAGTTCTGGTTGTTCCACATGAATCGAAGGTTTGTCCCTATTATTCAGCAACAGTTGTCTCATTTCTTCCCTCTGTTCAGCCATCATAGCCCGAATCATGGCTCGAACTCCAGCCATTGTGACTGGCTCGGGTGCAGCTTCTACTATTGGCACCTACTCAATCACTTGGGGTTGAGGTCGTTGATTCTTGTTTTCATTCGTGTTTCCAGCTCCGCTTCAGGTTCCCACCATGTTGATCTATACACCAAAGGAGGTGCATTTAGATCTTTATTTACGATAGACGTTTAAATTCTCCTCATCACTCCGAAACGTTACATGCTAGTTCTAATATCGTAATCGAACGCTTAGAATCCTAAACACGTAAGGTTTCCAGATCCGGTCGGCAACAAACCATAGATCCGAACAAATAATAGCATATACGACAAACATAAAGCATTTAGCACATCAAAGCATTTTAGGCATCTTTCCTAAAATGAACTAGTGCCCGTGTCTATTCAGGTGTACTACCTAGAATACAATAGACACACTCCTCACGATTATCGCTTAGCATTCTAAGTTTAAGTCTAGAAATTTTCCTAAAATTCCTAGTTCGCTTAAACTAATGCTCTGATACCAACTATGACATCCTCATTTTCACGGCCAGAAAATACCGATTTGTTTATGCTTCATTTTCAAAATCAAAGTATACCTTTAAAGAAAAGTGTTGCGGAATTTTGTTCCCAGAAAAACATGATAAATATGTTATCAAAGCATTTCCGAAAAAATGTATTTTATTCATTTTAAAACTTTGGGATGTCAACGTCAATACAGAAACATAAGCATAAATAGAACTTATATTCGTTTACACTAGTGATCTACATCTCTTTAATCTCTCAGTGTAGTGTAGCTTTATATCGACACTTATGATACAAATAAACTGAGTGGGTCAGGTTGGGAAACCTAGTGAGTACATAGGGTTTTCAACCCACAATAATATAATTATTATGTTTAATCATCAAACAATCAACCCGATTACCCATCCCCTATATCTTCTTTATTCTTAAGGATCTACCCTAAGAATCAGCTATCCTTCATTCATTCATTCCTAAGGTTTATCCTAGGGAATACGCGTGAAGTCCATTACTACTAATGTCATCTATTAGGCACAGCTGCCAATATTATCCTTTTAGGCGCAGCTGCCAGGATTGTGTTGTTCTCAACTAGGCGCAGCTGCCAACATCATCTATTAGGCACAACTGCCAATGTTATCTTTTAGGCGCGGCTACCGATATTATCATCTAGGTGCAGATGCTGGGATTATGACGTTCTCTACTAGGCGCAACTGCCGATGTTATCCTTTTGCACAACTGCTAGGATGTTTAGAGTGCATCGTGGTTCGAAAAACATCTACAGGTTGTGGTGCAGCTATCAATATTCATCTTTATCATCTTTCATACCTCAACATTTATCTACCCATGTTCTACCCAATATATTTGTAGATATAAAATGCATCTATAGTTTTAGATCTGAAGAAAGGGTTCAGATATGAAAACAAAATACATCTACAGTCTAGATCTGACGAAAAAGGTTCAGATCTAAAAAACAAAATACATCTACAGCCTAGATCTGAAGAAAAAGGTTCATATCTGAAAAAAAATACATTTACAGCCTAGATCTGAAGAAAAAGGTTCATATCGGAAAGCAAAATACATCTACAGCCTAGATCTGAAGAAAAGGTTCAGATCTGAAAACAAAGAAGTCAGATCTTTCATCCAACATAGATCTCAAGGTATAAAATACATGTACAACTTAGATCTGAAGAAAAAGGTTCAGATCTGAAAAACAAAGAAGTTTAAATCTTTCATCTAGCACAGATCTCCAGTAAATATGCACACATAGCACGTAATTTATATAAAATACTTCATATATGTGTGTAAGATGAAAGTAACTATGCACTCACTTGATAAGGTGGTGATTCGGACAACACTTCGCTTCTAATGTTTTATTTTGATTTTGGGATTTCTCTGATGTTGAACCTATTTTGAAAACAATTTGTAAACAATGATGGTTTTTTAGTGAACTTTAAAAATTTAAAGTTTTTGAGAATTTTATGAATGTTACAAGTTTGTATCAGAGCCTTGGTTTGAGTGAATTAGAGGAACAATCATGTGAATCCAATCTCAAACTACCTTACTGTTATATGATATTGTGATAATCAAGGAGGATGCAATGTGTACGATCAGTCGGAGCCAGTAAGTAGACCCCAAAATAACTTACTGTTATCTAATATTGTGATATGTTAGAATAGCATGCTAGTGATAGGCTAGGGATCTTCAGGTTTTGCATGATAGAGTTGCCTGATTATATGATGCTTGTTAGCATAGGGTTCTTCTCTAATGGAATTGACATCATTAGTGTAGTTGCTTAGTGTATGTATCATGGTTATATATAACTAAGATCTTATAGCCTGGGAATGTTTGATTTGGCCTTATTTCCTGTTCTTGTTTGATGAAGGGCTTAGGGTAGGATCAGATAATCAAACGACTATAGGGTCTAGTGTTATGTATGGCTAGCATACACGAGTGGTGCAGGATTGGTGGGAGTTTCATGGATGAGTCGTGTGGGGTCAGCCGACCAGTTTTAAGATATATACATATATATATATATATATATATATATATATATATATATATATATATATATATATATATATATATATATATATATATATAACATTCCTCTAGGCTGTGGGGATTGAGTGTATGAGTATGCTATCAGTATTGTTAGGGTGTTGTGATGACTCTCTGAGACAACTACGGGTATGTGTGGAAGGTAGTATGGGCCCGTACTACTGAAAGCACAAGACCCGTACGCATACCATAGGAGTCAC